ACACAGCGTCCAGTTACCATCAGAAGTGTTCGGCCGGAAAGATTAACGCTGGCAATTTGTTCGCTCCATTGTTTTCGTTTTTTGCGCTAAAAGTTTTTGCTTGTCCTGCTGGTCGATTATCTTCTATGGCGAAAGCTGTCATATATTCGTAAGTTCTTTACTGCGTATGAGATATTATGGTGCTGTTGACTACCTCGTTTGTCTGTTGCTCGTAAGCACGACTGCTAATTATGTGCTGATTATGACCCGAGTTCGAATCTCTATCAAGAAATTCCCCGGAGTCAGGAGCATAGCATCTAAAGCCGTTGGTTCTGCACCTGGTCTCTGCGGTCGTGTTGCCGTCCCGTCGGACTATAAGAGTGAGGCAGTAAAGTGCTTACGTATAAACTCGTGCATTATAATCCTGTTCTGCGCAGATGGCTAATCTCTGTTGACACTGGCCGTCATGACCGTCAGTCTGGAGGACATTATTATAGAATATACCTCTCTCTCTCTCTCTCTCTCTCTCTCTCTCTCTATATATATATATATATATATATATATATATATATATATATTCTAAGCCATTGAACATAAGTAAATGTTATTCTTTTGAATATTAATTTTTTTTAATCTGTAGCGCATCTATTAGTGGTCGTGTAACTTCTGAACGCCTTGACCGACTGTAAATCGTATTCATATAATATAATATTTGTTTTTAACGACTTCAAAAAACGACTGCAAAGGAGGTATAGTATTCGACTGTATGTTTTTTATATGTGTTACCTCATAACTTTTCTCTGGGTGAACCGCTTTTGATGATTATTTTATCTGAAAGCTGATGCTTCTCGTGTGCTCCCATATAAATTTAATCAAGATCTGACCAGTAGTTTTTGAGTTCTCTTTAATAATGCGTATTTAATTGACCGAAGACATTGATGATGTTCTCATTTTTATTATATTGAAGTCGGTAGTACAGAATTTTTAATTTTACCATTTGTATCGAGACGATTATTCATTGCTATGCTAGGATTCCATCATCCTCAGGAGACGCTGTTGTCGTATTTATTAACCAACCAAAATTACTCATATTTACGATGTGTTGATAATATTTATTTCAAAAGTAAATATTTATGCTTCCACACAAACATACATATTTCATAAATATTTTCACACGTTGTAAATATGAGTAATTTTACTACTATAGAATAACTTATCTTATATTTACATTTTATAAAGCTCAAAGTGAATTCGGAGTGGAACATTCCGCTTTCTACCTATCATCATGATCCCAAAAAAATTAGAAGATTTACAAGTTTTTTTAGTAGTAATTGTAGTACAAATGGGTCGACTCGACCGGGGAAGGACGACGCTCTTACAGAACACCAAATTAAAGTAGGTGTTTCGTATGGTGAGTGTAGAGAACTGAAGACCCTTTTAGTGGGAAACAAGGGAATTCGATCTTAGCCCACAAGGGTGATAATTGATAATGAAAATACAGATGTATTTTGATTCTTAATCGAATATGATTATAGATGTTTGTATATGTCTATGGGCCACATCGTCCACATAACAGGCGGACTGAGTGCGCGTTAACAATTTAATATACTTTTTTTGCTTAGGAAGACAGTACATATGTATGGACCACAGCATCCACTTACTATCAGTTGGATATGTGGTCGTTTTTTACCCTTACTTGTTTAAAACGTAATATGTCCAAGAAATCAGGCGATGGGCAGCAATGTCGCCCTAATAAGAACTAAAAAAACTGCGGTTGCCAACCGGCTTGCCAAGCGTGGCAACTATGGCAAATATCCCCCTATGCACCAATCTATGGACGAGGCCTATATTCAGCAGTGGACTCTAATAATCTGTAACGGTAACAGTAACGGTGATGTTGATAACAAAATAAGAAGAATAAAAATGTAAACGGACATTGTGTCAGTTTGTTTACAACAATGATACGATAACAAGTAAACATAACTTTGAGTGCACAATGTTACACCCATTAGTTAGTCGTTATTGAAGCATTTAGTTAATTGTTTTGTTAGATTGGTCAAAATTATACTTTTACTTATTGTGTCTTGAATTTAGTGTGCATTAATTTCATCACCGAACACTCACGCCTCTTATCCAGAGGGGAGACTACGGACTTTCATTTGGCACGATCCTAACTTCCTAACACACCTCGCTTGCCTCCTTTACGCTCATCTTAATATATTGTCTATACATAAAATTTTGTGTGCTCTCTATCTATCATTGCAACTTCATAAATTGTACGTACTTACGGGAATCCGATACAGCCTATAAAAACTCTACCACTGAACATGGGTCCCCAAACAGTGTTCCAAAAAAAAAATTTTTAAAATCAAATAGTCCACCCGATGGTAAGTGGTTGCTGTGGCCCATAGACATATACATAAACATCTACATCATTGTCGATTACGAATCAAAATGCAGATGCGTTGTCACCCGTGAGGACTAAGATGGAATGCCTCGTTTCTACTAATAGTAGTATACTACTAATATAACTGCAGCATGGATCTACCACGTATGTTACATAACATACATACTACATAATGATTTCTTATATTTACGCGAACAGTACACATTGATTAAAACTACTGTTATGGATTTTATCGCGTTTAATTTACTTGATTTTTCATACGACGTTTCGGTGGTCCGATCTATGCACAATGAACTTACTGTGTCTTCAAGTCTTATAGTATTATGCTTGGGTTTAGTTTTAATTTTATTAATTATAGAGTCCCATGCAGGTGGTAGTACCCAGCTCTATTGAAATTAGGATGTTTTTTTTTAAATATCAATAGCCTCACGTATTATCCTTGTTAGGAACTGATGTTCTTTCGCGAGTATTTGTAATCTATCAAATCTAATGTAATGGTTGGAGCCTAAGAAAATAAAAGTGCCACCTATCTTCCTTGCGTAACAAGCTATGGACAAGCCTATATTCCTAATAATCAGGAGATCTTGATTAATTTCGCTCTATCGCCTTTTACGCCACCCGCAGGACTATATGGGTAATGGATATACACCTTCACTACACGCTCAATTTCCGGGAATTTAGCGTATGTATATATGTGACTAATATTTCTGTAATAGGAGTACTTTAAATTACCCATCGTCAAGAGGGGAATGATAACTGAGGTGTTTGACGTCCTGATGTCGTAATTAATCCGGCCTACCTTCACAAAATGTGCCAACGGCAATCTTGCAGTGATATTCATAGCTTTAATTTTAATAATCAACGAATCATATCAAAGCAACCAGTCGTCTTCTCTTTTGACATTTAAATATGTTTTAATTTTCTCGCGGATCGGTTTATTTAGCTACGTTTGTTTATACATATATATAATGTAAGAGATTGCTTCGAAGCTGTTTTAAAGATTTCTAATAAATTTTAGTGTAACAGATTTAGAAGTGATGTTGTATTTTCTTTGTAAATACATATGCAACTTGCTAAAACCCTTATATGCTTTAGAGAGTTATTTTTTGTAACATAAATGATAAACGAGCACACAGTCTGCCTGACGGTAAGTGAATGCTGTGGCTCAGAGACGTTTACATCTGTCTTCGATTAAGAATCAAAATTTAAATGCGTTGTCACCCCTGAGCAATAATATGGAATGCCTCATTTCCAGTAAAAAAAGTCTCCAGTTCTCTACACTCACCATGCTATTTTACCCTGGTATTCTGTGCGAGCGTGGTCGTTTCCCGGTCGATCCGAAATCAACACAGTAGCCGAATGGCGGATTCGAATAGTTCGCACCGTTTCAGAAGACCACTATCGTTTCGCGTTTGTCTAATAAATATTTGTATATCAGGTATGTCAGTATGAGTCAACTCCCCTCTTGCATAGTTGCCCGTGCGTGCGGTTTGCGGTGGAGAGCGCGGCCGCAAGAGTTACGTCAATAGTACTTATATCAAGTTATAATTAATATATTACAATATATCTCAGTATATCTTATTACGTAATAATAATATATCCAGTAAAACAAGAAAATTACACCGTGTAAGAATAAATCAAAGTATTCAAATATGAAAATAGTACTCGATAGACGTAAAAATCTCAGCAAAATTTTAAAACAACTTTTATAAGAAGATTCTTTGCATTTTTAAGACACACTTATATAATAAACTGAATAAAACATTAGACACTTACTACCTTAATCAAATAGTTTATAAAAACTGTACATCTTTACCTACAAAAATTAACTTATAATGAAACTGAAAAGTTTTTTAGTATTTAGACTTCTTATAAAACTCTCACCGCAATATTACCCGTATAAAATAATAATATTCACACACACACACACACACACACACACACACGCACACGCACACGCACACATTTTACACACTCCTCTCCTTTAAAACTAAGGCAACTTTTTTTAAAGTAAAAAGACATCATAGTATGTACTGCATTATTATTATGTAGGTTTATACGTGGTAGAGCCATGATGTAACTATATTATGCACGATTGGGTCGACTCGACCGGGCTGTGTTGCTGTGTTTTGAATGGTGGGTGAAGAGAATCGGAGACATCATCCGAATCATCCATATTTGATCATAGTCCTCATGGGTAACAACGCATCTGCCTTTTGATTTAATCGAGGATAGATGAAGATGTCTATGAACTACAGCATCAGGTGGGCTGTGTGTTTGCTTGTCTCTGTTATTCTATATTTAAAAAAAACCTCTTAACACAAGCAGTTATAGCTTACTGAGAGTGAGAGTGGCGAACGGGAGGATTGGTGATATTAATAGGATTAATAGTATTCTTTCTTTTTAAATTGCCTCCCTCTGTTGGTTCCGGCTTCAGCATCTTCCTAATCTGTCAATGCATATGAGAAAATCATCGGGGGAAGCATATGTTTAGCAGTGTACTTTTGATAGAATGTAACGGTAAATTTAGCCTTTGTTTTATCATCATATAACAAGTGTTTCCTTGTTTGTTTTCAATCGGTTAAAAAATAATCGGTTTTTCTTCGTTTAACAGCATTGGCGGCCAGTGACAAAGATGATTCGATGCCACCGGATGCCACCAAGCGCCACACCATGCCACCGCAGCCGGCGCCCAGGCCTACCATCAAGGACAAGGTAACCATGAACCCATATAATATCAATTGAATGAATTATCAAACTTAGTTTCGTGATATAACTTTGAGCACGAACATCACCAAACCCATGGTCAGCCTTGCGAATAATAATTTCGTTTAGATAACAAGATCGCTGCTAATTGCCAGCACTTTTGTTAACTAATTTAGCTAAGTTTTCTTCATAAACTAAAGTGCTAAGTATTAACCGGTTGAAAAATTTAACTCTTCAATTATTTATGTAGTTTGTACCTTTCTACTCTATATGTCGTATTTCTCACCTGTATACCTCTTCAAGTATATTCGGTTCCTGTATTTAAGAAACGCTTCGTTCTCCATTCCTATTTGTTATATAACAATATGAATTTTGTATAAAATCATTTCAAATATAAACTTTTTTGGCAAATTAAGATGACTGAAATTGAAATTGAGTCGTTAGATATTGCATTGGTGTCTTCAATATTTTTTAAAAGCATTTCGTGTAGGCTGTAAAAGGCATACTAAAGGAAAACGAAAAGTTTTTAAATATAGGAAATAAACGTTAACAAAGATGTACGTAGCCCATTCGAATATTGCAGTAGTTTACATTATTTTATTTCTGTCTTTGTTATTAAATTGTATATTGCATAAGAAGTATTTTTTCAAGAAATTGGTTATGACATGATAAACAGGGATACGTTATTCTCTAATTTATATACAATAAACTCTAAAGTAAAGAATTTAAATAATACACATTTTTTACTTAACATAAGTAATCGGTCTGTAATTCATGTTCAGTGCACGATAAAAATACAAAATTGTAGTGTTAAAGCAAATATTTATATATTATCATATTGTTTGTTAAACTTTTAAGTTTTAAGTGTATTGATTTACATTGTTCATACTTGTCGTAAACAGTAAAAAATAAAACATAATCATGTACTGCAGTTCACACGCGGTTGTAGTTAAATAAACCTTCAAATGAAATATGAAAAAAATATTTCACGGCAAATGATTTATTCAAGTAATATAATAACCTTCAACCATAAGTGCAGCATAAAATATAAGATAAAAGGTTGATTTTATAGCAATTAAATATTATAATCCTTATTTATAGACATGTTATGACGAGCCTAAATTTTAATATTATATAAATCAAAATAATATTTTCTTATTTTGATTGTGACCAACCCAGACTTTCTGCTATATATTTGCATGATTTATTTATTTATTATATGTTTCAACGTCAAAATGCATCCTAATGTCAAAAGATGCGATAAATATGAACAATGATGACGTAATGGCGATGTCGTTGAATGGTATTAAGAATGGTACGAACACATAATACGATCGTTAGACCCTGTTGGTAGATTAAAAGATAATGTTTGCACGTGAATGACATCATGTCACGTTCATTGTAATGCTTGTCCACCATTGGGGATCACACTACCGTGGATGAAAGGTTTCATGAGTCTCACCATTAGTGTAAAGAATTATGTTTTAAAATATCTGAAAGAAGTCGATGATAAAAGGTCTTAAAATGCTAAGAAATGGGATATTAGTGCTTTGCTCCATGTTACCCTCAGCAAAAATATTGTTAGTTGTGACTAAGGTGAATATGTTTGTCACACAGTGTCGTAATCATTGTAAAACTACGTTTAAAAAGCTTTACGGTTTCTATTGTACACAAAACAATGCCTCAGTGATGTATTAAGTGTTAATTTACCACGTCCTCTTTGAATAAGGAAAACATATTGATGAAGTCCATTGCGTTATCAACCACTTCACAGCTTGCTATTGTACTCACATTCTATTCCATTTAGATCGGAATTCAATAATTTAAGCATTCGTATAGGGATAGAAGATAGGAGAGGGTGTGGTAACTATTGCACCGCGGACAGCGAGTATTTAACATTACTATAGTCTCGTTGTCTGGCATAGAGAATATTATATAGTCTTTGTTGTCTGGTAAATGGTTGTTGTGGCCCATAGACATCTACATCTGTCCTCAAATACGAATCAAAATGCAGATGCGTTTTCACCCATGAGGACTAAGATGAAATGCCAAGTTTACAGCAAACCCTGTCGCCCTTATTCTATAAAAAAATGGTCTCCAGTTCTCTACACTCACTATAAAAACCACAGCAGCGTTAAGCTGCTATTTTAAGCTGGTGAGAGTGTGGTCCTTTCTCGGTCGAACCGACCATTCGTGCTACAACTATACTATTAATAAAGCAGCATGGCTGTACCACGTATGAGTAATTTATTTATATTTTTATTTCGTAATCGTATTTATTATGTATTTTTATATAGTAATCGTGTGTATTGAAACCGTTTCGAACAGTCTGTACATTTAATATGTTCTCTTTTGACATTTAAATGTTTATCTATACATTATGATTGACATGACGATTGGAATTTTAATTCCACTTAAATTTAATTCTTTTTGATTTAATTTAATTTACTTTAATTACGAATTACGTTACGTTACGTTTTACTTAATTATGAAAATGATTAAAAATACGCAAAATAATTTTCTATTATTCGGACAACATTACTACTATAAAACTTACTACGTTTAAACTACTATAAAACTAACTTTTTTATATAATAAGATGTCAAACGAGCGCACAGTCCACCTGATGGTAAGTGGATGCTGTCGCCCATAGACATATACATTTATCCTCGATTAAGAATCAAAAGGCAGATGCGTTGTCACCCCTGAGAACTAAGATGAAATGTCTCGTATCCAGCAAAAAGGGTCCCTGCACTCACCATAGATACACAGGTATTAAGCTGCTATTTTACGCTGGTATTCTGTGAAAGCGTGGCCCTACCCTGGTTTAGCCGACTCATTTGTGCTACAACCATTATATAGCTTCAGCGTGACTCTACCACGTATGATAAAATATAATAAAATAGAATATTTTGTTATTTTATATAGATAGCAATATAGATTACGTACTATTCTTATTGAGTCATTTTTTATTTTTACCAACGGTTCTGATAAAAACCACCCAATCTTGGGAAGAACCAGCAAGGATCCTAGCAACTTGTCCTCCCAACAAAGTAAATGATACGATAAGAAGGGTCGTGCAAACTATTTACAAAATTAATTTTAGAAACGGTTTGAATATTAAGTTACTATGAATACACATATAATAACGGTATTGTGATCCCCGATGGCCCATTAACCGTTATCCATTACGCACGCTGCTCGGATTAGCTGCGGAGAAGGTCCGGCGGCACGGCCAGCGCCAGTTCCGCCAGCTCCCTCGAGGGGGAGTACCACGCCGAGCGCCTCGAGAAGGTGCCTTCTTCCTTCAACCTAATATAAAACATATAGACCACGGCAAATCTGCATCCATAAGTAAAAAGGCACATCTGCAACTTTTATAAAATTGACTCGCAACCATTGAAATGCATCGCATAATATTTTCAGAATTGATAGTGTTTAAAAGGTAAAACTTAATTTGTCCTTTTTTAATGGTGCCAGATATGTATGTCGTGTGGTCGTTAGGTTAGGCATATCGTAAACTATCTGGGCATTGCATTGCATTGCATTTAGTCCATTATTTCAACTATGACTTATGTTTACTTTGTTAGGAATATGAAAGCACCTATCTAGTAATATCAGCGACACTAGGTTTTTTATAGAATGTAATTTATAGGATAATAACTTATAAACTAATATATTTAGTTTAAAAAGTATATAAATTATGCACAAAGTAATATGGGTTATAATATATCGGCCAAATCCTAAAATGGCGGCGTACCCTCTAAAAGTTACTAGGTAGGTGTTTTCATATTTTTAATATATTAACAGAAGTCAAAGTGGGAAATTTCGACGTATTATGGAATGCCCACGCAGATCACGAATTACTTATAACGATTATACAAATAATAATTTGATGTCCATCAAAGTGTAGATCTGCCCTAATATTTACGACAGCAGTAGCGCTCTGGATACTTGTACGACCTGCAAAAGTTTGTTTGCACTGAGTTTTACTTATAATATAAAATATTAGAAGAAGCTTTACTTTTTGCTTAAAATAATTAGATTTTTTAAGGAGTAACTTTAGTTACCGTATGTTTTTAAAATTTTGGTGCGGAATTTGAAAATAATAACTGAAACAAGAAGCTTTAAATACAATGCAATGAAAAAAAAAATGCGTAAAAAAAATGAAACAAATGATAAGAGTTATGATAGGTTTATGCATGATGTACTTATGACGCCACTTGCACCAAAACATAAGATTTCCTATCATGCACGACCATCTACATCAGATCGCCAAGTATCTATGACTAGATAAAGAACCCCTATAGAACATTCCCTTTTCTGTTGGTTGTTGCATGGGCAAGATGTAGTTTTGGTAATGCACAATTAGAAAGACGAGTAGAGTTGGTTGTTTCGCTCGGATACTGCATTTTAAGATGTTCACTTAATGAAAGATGTTTATATTTTCACAAGCAGTGCGCAATAAACTTAAGATCGGTTAAACTTAATCAGTAACAGTATTTCTCTCTGCACATTTTATTTTTTATTTTTAAAATAATTTTAATATTACCCAATATGTTGCAATAAAAGAATTCTTATTTGATCCAAATCCTCACAATCAGTTTTAAAACCGATATACATTATTACAACGTAGCAATTGAACCATTTCTGTAATAAATAACCTTAGGATTTGAAAGATTGTAGATAAATAGAGCCAAATGTGGTATTGTTAAGCCCTTCCCTTTTTAATCTGGGGCTTGTTTATTTCAGAAACCTCCACCAGGAGCAGTTAAAGTGATGCCAACTGCGCCACCGGATAAAAAAGAAGAAAAGATAGTAACAGAAAGGAAGCCAGCTGAAAATGGTATAAATGTAGACTTTGTATTTACCCATGAGTCTTGTACTCAAGATTTAAATTTGATTTAGGTTACACAAACTTTATGAAATGTAATTTAAATATATACAATATAGATACTTCAATACGTAGATTTTATATACTCGTAAATATGAGATAGAGTACCAGCACTGGCTGGTACGAGGGAGTATGATTATCAGTCGATATTTTTCTCATCCCATGTCTTTTTCAGGCACAGACACAACCAGCGATCCGGGTATCACAAACAACGTGGAAACTCCTAAGAGGTCAAAGGTGAGTACTGTAAATATTTACGACTTACACATTTTTCTCAAAATATTTAAACGTTCAGTTTTAATTTTGTTATTCTTCCAACAAGCAAGAATGGTAGACAAGATGAGGCGTTGTTCATTATTAATACTACTGTGATGTCTGGCAAATAGTAGATTTTGTCTGTATCATACAAGTTTTATGTAAATATTAATGTTAGAGACGCAATTATAGCAAGCATGTTGAAATACTGCATTTTATGTCATTCACAGTTTGATTCAGTTTTAAAAAAATATAAATTATGTACATATAAATGTCAAATTTCCTGCTATAATTTAAATGATTATTTTATTTTTTTCTTTCCCTCCCATTCCTTCGATTCAATTCAGGCGGGAGGCTTCGGACTTTTTGGTAGTAAAAAAGAAAAATCCCCGAAAGATGAAAAGTCCCCGAAAGACAAATCGCCAAAATCTAGAGATAAATCGCCAAAATCTAAAGATAAATCGCCTAAAGAAAAAGACAAGAAACTGAAAGACTCCAAAACAAAAGTCGCCGTACTCGATACGTCTAATGAAAGCTCAAATCTTGATAGTTCAGTTGAAAAAAGCCCAAGTAAAGGTGATGGGAAACCAAGCTTTACTAAACCTTACGAATATACTGATACTGAGAAAAGTCCAACTCGCACTAAACCTTTTATTCAAGGTGCATTTAGCTATGAAAAAGAGCCTATTTCCGATGAAAAGCAAAGAAATCTTGATGACAGTCAAAGCCCCACAACAAGAAAGGCTGGATTGGCATTTAATTATGCCCCAGGAGAAGATAAGAAGGTGGCTGAAAGTGCTGAAAAACGCAAAACCCCTGAAGATCCTAACAAACTTAAAACACCTGGTATTGATTATGTACAATCAGCTGCTTTAAAAGAACAAGCCAAAGGACCCAAGCATCTTATTGATCCAACTTTGGCCTTGTTAGACTCCGAGAGAGCTCATCATGAAGTCCCCGTTACTGCGGTATTACCGATTACTAAAAAAGACAACGAAATACAAGTAGTCATTATAACGGGTCGATATAATCCAAAAACAAAGAAACTTGATGATGCTAATGGCACTATTCTTGTAACTAAGGGGACTCTGAACAAATCCAATGGAAAGATACAGACGGAAACAGAGTTAATAAACACAAAGTCAGGCCAAATAAATTATACTGATCCAGCAACCGGTAAACAAGAGGTGAAGAATGGTCATGTTGATTCGAAATCTGGTCATATTCTATTTACATCTGGTGTCATTGACCCTAAAACGGGAAAAATTGACCCCATTTTGGCACAACAATACTGTTTTGTTGAAAGATCTGAAGATAAAGTAGGTGCCAAGCCTGGTAGAGAGGTAGATTTAGTTGTTATAACCAGTAAATATGACGGGAAACACAAAAAACTTGATCCATTACATGGACATGTGGATGTTTCCAAAGCTATTGTCGCATCTGATGGCATTGTTCATTCAAATTATGGGACCATTGATCCTAGGTCCGGTAAGATCGAATATGTCGACCCAAAAACAGGCAAACAAGATCCAAAACAAGCATATGTTGACCAAAAGACTGGAAATCTTCTTGTGACAACCGGTATCATAGACCCGAAATCAGGCAAGGTGGATTCATCACTTGGACAACAGTTCAGTGTAGTTGAAAAGGACGCCACAAAAGCTAACAGAGAAGTGAGGTTGGTTGTCATAACAAGCAAATATGATATCAAAAACAAAAAGCTAGACCCAACATTTGCTCACGTTGATTCCATTAAAGGAGTATTGAGTGGAACTGATGGCAAAATTTATTCAGAATATGGTATTATCGATCCTAGAACTGGAGATATCCAAGTAACTAATACAGAGACAGGCAAGCAAGAGATTAAACATGCTCAAGTTGATCCGAAAACCGGTAACATTCTTCTGCTCTCAGGAGTGATTGATCCTCGAACCGGACAACTTGATACTACACTAGGACAACAGTATAGTGTCGTCGACAAGCCTATATCTACATTCGCTTCGGTTTCAGGAAAGGACGTTCAAGTTGTAGCAATAACCAGCAAATATGACTCAAAACACAAGAAATTAGATAATCCCAATGGATTTGTTGAAATCTCTCAAGCCATCATAAGCGATAAAGACAGTAAAGTACATTCTAATTTTGGTATTTTAGATCCGAACACTGGAAAAATTCATTTTACAGATCTAAAAACTGGTAAACGTGATTCAAAACAAGCTAGTATAGACCAAAAAACGGGCAGCTTTGTTATTACTTCTGGAGTTATTGACCCCAAAACCGGTAAAGTAGATTCTTCACTTGCTCAACAGTTAAGTGTTATCGATAAAGATGCTCCGAAGGGAATTCCTGAGAGACGAGTAAATTTGGTTGTAGTGACGGCCAAGTATGATCCTAAAATGAAAAAACTGGACCTTTCCACTTCTCATGTAAATACTTATCCTGGTACAGTGGACACTGACGATAAAGTACACACGAAATTTGGTATAATTGAACCAAGCATTGGCCAAATTACTGTTACTGATCCCGTAACTGGCAAACAAGAAACAAAGAAAGCGACAGTCGACACGAAAACTGGTAATTTATTGCTCACATCAGGTGTTGTTGATCCACGGACCGGGCAAGTGGATGGCTCCTTAGGTCAGCAACTTAGCATTGTCAATATGCCTAAAGACACGTTTGCAGGCGTACCGGGTAAAGAAGTGCAGTTAGTAATTATTACAAGTAAATATGATTCTAAGAACAAAATATTGGATAATCCTAATGGTCATATTGATACTTCAAGGGCAATTATTTCTTCGGACGGAAGAATCCATTCAAATTTCGGTATTCTTGATCCAAAAACAGGCAAAGTGGAACATACGGATTCTGTAACAGGAAGACAAGAGATAAAACAAACTACAGCAGACCCAAAAACTGGCCACTTCATTCTTGCGACCGGTATTGTGGATCCGAAGAGTGGTAAGACAGATTCATCTCTTGCTCAGCAATGGTGTATTGTAGATAAAGATTCAGGTAAAAGTACGCCCGAAAGACATATAAACTTGGTCATAATTACGGCTAAGTATGACCTTAAGAATAAAAAATTAGACCTATCGAACGCTCATGTTGACTCTGTTCCTGGAATTATTAAAGATGACGAGAAAGTTTATACAGAAAAAGGTATCATAGATCAAGGTACAGGTCAAATCACTATTGTAGATCCCGCCACAGGAAAACATGAGGTTAAGAAAGCATCCTTGGATTCTAGAACCGGCAATTTGTTGTTGACTTCTGGCGTTATCAATCCTCACACAGGTAAACTCGACTCTGATTTAGCCCAGCAATTGACTATTGTTAGTAAAGACGTCAATAAAGTTCCTGCAATATCTGGCAGAAACGTGCAACTTGTAGTTATTACTAGTAAATACGATCCAAAAACTAAAAAAATAGATAATCCTAATGGACACGTGCAAACTTTATCTGCTGTCATTTCAAACGATGGAAAAGTTTATTGTAACAATGCTGTTTTGGATCCAAAAACAGGCAAAATTGAACAAACTGATCCAAAGACTGGTAAACAAGAAATAAACCAGGCCATTCTTGATTCTAATACGGGACATTTTACTCTTGCTTCTGGTGTCATTGATCCCAAAACTGGAAAAATAGATTCTTCGCTTGGGCAGCAATGGTGTGTAATTGATAAGGAGTCTCCGAAAGAAGCTCCAGCTCGATATGTTAACTTGGTAATAATTACATCTAAATATGATCTAAAGAATAAGAAACTAGATCTTGCTAATCCACATGTTGAGACAATTCCTGGATTTGTTGGGGCTGATGATAAAGTTTATACAGATATTGGCGTTATTGATCCGACCACAGGACAAGTCACTTTTATTGATACTATAACACGAAAACAGGACGTTAAAAAAGCTTCAGTAGACCCAAAAACTGGAAACTTGTTGATTTCGTCAGGCGTAGCAGATCCACAAACAGGACATGTTGATCCAACTTTAGCACAACAATTAAGTGTTGTTGAAAAACCAAAAGACACATTTGCTGCAGTTCCCGGCAAAGAGGTGCAGCTTGTAGTGATTACAAACAAATACGATCCGAAAACCAAAAGGTTAGACAATCCTAATGGTCATATAGAAACATCACGAGGAATAATTGCAGCCGACGGAAGAATTCATTCTAATCATGGCATTGTAGATCCAAAAACTGGTAAAATTGAGCAAGTTGATCATAAAACTGGCAAAACAGAGATTAAACAAGCTATTACAGATCCTAAAACTGGACATTTAATTATTACATCTGGTGTTGTTGATCCAAAGACTGGAAAGGTGGATTCAACTCTTGCTCAACACTTAAGTATTGTAGACAAAGATAGTAAACCCTTACAAAGAGAAATTCATTTAATCATTATCACTACAAAATATGATCCAAGAACAAAGAAAATCGATCCAAATCAAGGAATTGTGGATACTGTAACTGGAACAGTTTCATCTGACGGTAAAATAATTACGGAATTTGGTGCAGTAGATCCTTCGACTGGTGAAATTACAATAACTAATCCTGTAACAGGTAAAAAAGAAGTTAAAAAATCTATTATTGATCCGTCGTCGGGACATATGCTGGTAACTAGCCAAGTCGTTGATCCCAAGACAGGTAAGGTTGATCCAACATTGGTTCAACAGTTCACTATTGTCAGTAAAAAAGTCGTCCCACATGCTAAACCGCCATCGAAAGGTGAAATTCGTCTTGTTATTATTACGGGAAAATACGATCCGCGAACAAAATCTGTGGATGCTGGTTCTGGAACGGTAGATGCTTCCAAAGGCTTCGTTAGCGTTGAAGATGGTAAAATTCATACCGATTTCGGCATTATTGATCCAAAATCAGGACAGATACTTTATAAAGATCCTGTCACGGGTAAACAAGAATTGAAACAAGCAGAAATAGACCCTCAAACTGGCAACTTCATAGTGACCACTTCTGTAGTAGATCCGAGTACTGGTAAAGTGGAACCTTCTTATGCTCAACAGCTAACGATTGTTGACAAACTAAATGTTTTGCCTAAAGCTGCACCCGTAGCGCAAAGAACTAGTATCTCCCCAGCTAGACAAGTGCCGTCTCCAATAAAGACTCCTACTCAGACATCTGTGCACACGCCATTAAGTTCACCAGTAAAAACTTCCTCACCCATAATTAGTAGTCAAGCTCAAAAAGCTTCGACTATTACGTCAGTTGCACCGGTTCAGAAATCATCACCAGTTAAACCTACGTCTGCACCACCAGCACCGCCTAAAAGAAAGATTGTAAAAATTATGGTTATTTTCACTAAAGTTGATCCTAAGACCAAGAAACCAGATTTAAGTACAGCAGACGTTGAACATATAACTGGTATACTCGATCTGAATGGGCAGATTGAAACGAAGTATGGTGTCTTAGATTCAAATAAAGGTAACTTAGTTGTAAGTGATACAAACGGCCAGAGAAAAACAAAAGACGGTGTTGTATTCCCTGAAACGGGTCAAATATTTATACCATCTGGTGCAATTGATCCAAAGACCGGTAAAGCTGATCCAAATTTAGGTATGATTTTGAGCGTCGCAAAACAGGATGATCCTCTAGTAGAAATTACAACTATAACAGGCCCGATTGACCCTAGAACGAGTAAAGTTGATATCGAGAATGGTTTTGTAGAGTATACTAAAGGAAAGGTTGATGCAGAGACCGGACACATTTCAACTAAATATGGTGTAATTGATCCTTCAAATGGAGTCATCTTTGTTACTGATACCTCAGGAGCCCAGGATACTAAACCTGTGGATATTGATGAAAATAATGGCCAAATTACTATTACAGGTGCTATCGATCCCAAAACTGGAAAGCTTGATCCAAAACTTGGTCAAGTATTAGTTGTTGGTACTCACATTGACCCAATTGTTGAAGTGACTACATTCGTTGGAAAAGTTGATTCTAAGAAAGGTATCATCGAACCTAAGCATTCTGCCATTGAAAGTTCTACAGGACAATTTAATCCAGATAATAATAAGATTGACACCAAATATGGTCAGATCGATTTAGTTAAAGGCACTGTAACCTACAATGATCCCAAGACGGGTAAATTCGAAAGTAAAGAATTAAACGTGGACCCAGTTACTGGGCAATTTCTGCTTAGAAGTGGACAGATTAATCCCAAATCTGGTAAACCAGACAAAGACATCGGCCGGTTAATTTGCTTAAGAATTATTAGGAATAAAGTTGACCCGGTTTCTGGCAAGCAAATTGTTTCCAATGATCCACGAAACGTCAAAGTTGACCCGAAAACTAATCAAATTTGGATTGCCGGACCGAAAGATCCACAAACTGGAGACGTTATTTATACTGCTGGTCAAATTGATCCCGTTACTGGCTATATCATTACGATTTACGGACGTCTTGATCCGAAAACAGGAACGATTATTAGAACAACGGAAATTGACAAATCACTTATTAAGGTTGATCCAATTAATGGGCAAATTTACACAGCTACAGGTGAAGTCGACGAAGATAATCAACCAATATATTCAGCCTCCCAAGTGGATCCAGGATCTGGAGAAATTTATACCAAGTTGGGTAAGATTGATGCTCGAACTGGTAGATTAATAATAATTAAAATTTATGTCATTACACAAAAGGATGAAAAGGGCCGTGTAAAGGAAGTTGATCCTCGAGAATGTACAATAGATGAAAAAACCGGCAGAATAATAACAACAAAAACAGTTTACCTGTACCAAATCATTGATCCTATAACTGGGGAAACTATTGATGTAGACCCAGACGACCCGAGACTCAAAGGTGCGCGAACAACTGTAACACAAACTATGACGTTATCGGGTAAAATAGATCCAATAACGGGCAGGATAAAGACGGAGTACGGTGACATTGATCCAGATACTGGCGATATAGACCCCAGTACAGCTGTCCGAGATCCAGTTACTGGACAGTTGATATTACATTATTCACAAATCGACCCATCTCACTTCGAAGATAAGAGTGGAAATTACACAATAGAGAAGGAAACGCAGGACCTTCCGGCGAATATTGACATCGAGACAGTGAACACGCACAAATTCTCCACATTCGGCAAGGACGAGAGCCCTGCACGAGGTGACGAACCTAAAACTTTCACAGAGTACACTACTAGTGAGCACATTAGGCACCAGGGCTACGTGTCATCCAGTACCCCCCTTTCCTCAAAAATCCCAGTTTCACAGCGAACAAAGAAAACTCCAACTCCACCTGTGGTCGTGAAGACGACGACAAAGCAACTACTTACTAAGAACGAAGAGGGAGTGACTCATAACGTCGAGCAAGAGGTTGAAAACCTGGGCACTGGTGAAGTGACGTTCTCCACTCACACCAACAAGGTTCGTTTAATTCCTATACTTACAATTCCAGTAACAGGCAGTCAAGACGCCATCCTAATTCTTTTAAATGTTGTTTTATTTAATTTTTTTTTGTTAATTCATTGCGTGGCTTAATTTTTATGTTGTTGCCAAAGTTAACGCAATTTTCAAATTTTTGTTTTGCTAGTCACACCTGTATATAGTAAAAGCATGCTAGTTTAACCCTTAACTGTAGGCGGAAAGCCTAGAGCCGATGGAGGGAAAGAGTCCGTACGTAACTGCGCGCGCGGTGACCACTCGGACGGCCACAACTCACCACGATCTCGATACGAAAGCGAAAACGCAACAGATGGAAGAAAAAACCGTCGCACACACTCTCACTTCCTCTGCCACGAGGCAGGAGCAGCGTGTGTTGACACAGGAAGTCAAAACCATGGTTACTACTGGCGATCAGGTAATTCACCATTTCTTATTTACGTCATATATACACACTTTAGCATGTTTGTTTTTTCTTTCTACCATTTACATTTTTTTATTATTTTGCATTTCTTTGCTGGGGTTTTGCATCAAAGTTACAAGGAAGCAGCCAGTTGGCATGGTTGCACGATTATTTCTGTTTGCCCAACTAGAGACTTAGGGATATCGCTGCATTATTCGAACGGCCTGAAAGCACTGTGGCAGTTCATTAATAAATCATTGTGATAATGAATTAATGCATAATTTATTTCTACTTTTTTTTAATTTAATCTATCTTTAATCCTTTGGCCTTAACATGGACATGACAGTCATTTCAAATCTTTTCACTGTGTGATTTACCAAAGCATCAAACTCGAGCATTACCTTGTAATTTAACAGCTCCTTCATCATAATTTTAACCTGTGTTTTCTATCCTCGTTTAAATTAATTTCGGTACATAACAACGTTTCACATCGACCCTCATCGTAACGGAATCGTACGCACGGCAGCTGACTAGACGCGGCTCAGAAAGTTCGCTGAGCAGTGGTGACTCGGGCACGCCGATCGACTTCGAGGAAGGAGGGGAAGGTGTCTACTACGTCACCGTAAGTATTTTGGGAGGGAGGAAAGATTTGTTTCTGTCAGTTTTAATTGGCCATTAAGTTAGTTGAACGTCAGATAAACTTAAAAAAAATCTTATGATTTTTAACAGGCAGAAATAAATCTTATCCTTATTATCTCTAACACATGTGCAAGGTTGCTCACTTTGCACGTTGAAATATCTGAAGCTACTTCGTTTATTAATGACATAATGACGGAAAGACTTGTAAAAATGTGAGTTTTAAGTTACGTTTTATATTGATATATTCTATAGACGTGTTCGTGGCATGAATTGTATGGAATTTACCGACTTTAATATTAGTCGTTGTTGGTCGTTACGACGGACGTTTAAAAATCTGAATGACTTGGTCAACTAAAATGACTAATATTAAATTCAATTAGTCGGTTTGAATTAAAAGCGATGTTAGAAAGCAGATTATCGCAGTGGTTAAGCGTTTAGTTACACGGGACAAGTGTTTATATGGTTTATAAATAATAGTACCGTTTCTATATGTTCGATCACGTGTAATTCATGTATGTTAAACGCCTTCACTCATATATTTATAGATACTTAAGGACTTCGTCGCTTTTAGTTCAGAAATAGTACAGTGTAGTGCATCTTGTCTGTGCATGAGAAATGTGAGTTCGAATGATATTTTAAAATTATGTGTGACCTTAGTTTTTTGGTATAAATGGTATTTTTACTAATTTTGAAAATAAAATTATTAAATTATCAGTTTGTTTCACAGACTAGAAGTTATTTTAACTTGATTGATAATTCAGTGTATACATACTTTTTATTTTATTTAAATACAAATACTAGAAAATACAGTTTTAGAAAAAAGGTCTAAAAATGAATTTGATTCTAATATGGAAGTTCTTACTTCAACTTAAGTGGAAAAAATGAGGAGAGGCCTTGTGGCTTTATCTTAACTTTTTACTTTTACTGATTACTTAGTCTTTGTACTTCTATAGTTTATGTGCAGTTGGACAATACTTCGATCAAAAATTATTTAACAATTGTGAAAATATTTTTAATATTGCCACTTTAAAACTAGTTTAGATTTAAATTTCATGGTCAATATAATAATACTTTCAATTTTAACAAAGTGATAAAATTTAAAACATGCAATAAAAAAATAAAGTTACTGAACCAAAATGCTGTCCTTGCAGGAACCCGGTACATATCGAACCACTACCACGAGCACGGTTATGGGAAATGCGCCATTCGGCAGCATGGTCCACGGATCCACCACCAGGGTAAGAAATTATCACACATATATCAATTTTTTTTATAGTCATAAACACACACTTGTACACCCAGAGGGTAGGGAGATGCTTCAGACTTCCATATGACACGATCCTATCACACCTAATCCGCCTTCTTTACATCCACATACACACGCATACTGCTCGTCGGTTAAGGGTACTCCTAAACTGGCCCATCTTCAATATATCGCCAATATGGTTGATAAACTTTTGTCTAGGGTGTCCCTTACCAGCCCTATCGTTCACTTCTGCGACATAAATTTCTTTTGACACTTTCTCCTCTTTCTATTTTTTTGGTGATACTTTTCAATTTTGTTGCAGTGTATCATGGCGGTCTAAATCTTTCATCCCGTTTAGTGTCTGAGATGGTGCAAATGAAATGCCATAAGAAGTATTAAATTGATATTGAGGCCTTTGACAGGCGAAAAAATCAATCATCTTGTATAAAAGAAAAAATAACAACCTCCAGTTTGAAGTGACACTTCACAGTGTCAATTTTCATAATATGTATAGAATAAGGGTGACAAATGAACACAGTCCACCTGATAGTAAGTGGATACCGTCGCTCATAGGCGTCTACATCGTTCTCGGTTAAGAATCAAAGTGCAGATATATTTTCATCCCTGAGGACCAAGATGGATGATAATTTCTTATTAAAATCAAACTGCTATTTTAAGCTGGTAATCTGTGAGAGCTTAGTCCTTCCCCGGTCGAGCCGACCCATTCGTGCTACAACTACAATACCATCGTGAATCAAAATAATAGTATGTTACACGACATTCTGAAGATTCAGTTTAAATTTGAGATTCTCTCTGAATCACGGCCTTAGAGCTACATTTCATTAATTCATAACATTATTATCATAGTTATAGGATTTTCCTGAGATAACCTCATAAGAAGGATACTGGCCATAACTGCCACGCTTGGCAGACGGTTTGGCAACCACAGTTTTTTTATTGTATTTTTGTTGATATAAGTTGGACGCTTCTGGCCATCTCTTGTTTCACTTCCAACTATCGCCTCTTGCGCCTCTCACGATGGGTTAACGATTTCTTAACACCGTCACATGTAGTCTAACAATATACTAATAATAACGTCTACACGGAGAACGGCTTACAAAACACTAAAGCACTACAAATATTTAACTCTGGTGTCCTGCTTTCTTTGACTGTATTATTATATTAATGGCTGCTGGGTTTTCTATAGTGAGTTTAGAAAACCGGAGATCCTTTTTACTGGTGACGAGACATTCTATCTTGTCATCAGATTTGACAACGCATCTGTTGATTCTTTGTATAGAAATAATTATCTATAGGCATTGAAGTAATATGTACTTACGTACTAGAACAGCTAACTCAAACAAAAAATGTGCGCTACTACGTGTTCGCGCGGTTGTTTTTTTATCATAGAATAAACATGGGTAGAATGATCAGGTAATAGTAGATAATATTGTAAAATAGGTAAATTATATCGAGAACAATATTTAAATTTTGTCATTTATTTTGTATATTATATTTGCTTATTTAATATAATATTACATATTATATCACAATTGCATTTTAATGATATTTTTATCTGAATATTTTAAAAGGTATCTATATCAAATATAAAAAAAAACATACTAAATGTATGTTTAACAAAATTTATTAACATAACATTTAAATTACAAATATATTTATTTAAATTAGAATAAGAGTCGTTCATAAATGCTGGGCATGCCAGAGTTAAAAATGGACGAATTTATTGCACTTTCACTTTGATGTGGAAATATAAAAATAAAATAAAAGAATAATAAGCAGATTTAAAGATGAAAAATTTGGCCTAATTATAATAACTTATATATGTTTTTACAAAAAATGTGTATAATAATATATTCGTCTTACTTAAGTACCCACAGAAATGTCGCATCTGAACATATTTATTTCATAATCTATATTCCATGACAACATGGAGTCTTAGGAGTAATTTGTTTTATTATTAATCCGTAATACTTTTTTTATTAATTAATTATCTTATTAACCTCTGAAAAGTAATTCCTTCGTTTTAACTGACATTTCTTGAATTATTTGTGCAATATCTAAGTACACACGTTGGCATATTTTTATCAAGAGATTTTTTTTAAATCAACACAACATGTGACAACTCTATAATCACCTAGCGAGTGACTGATTAAAGTGCGGTGTATGCACCGCAGTTGAGTGGAACAGAGTAGCTGAATGCAGTGTGCCTCTAGTACGTAGTACATAATAGCTCAATTTCTATAGGCCGCAGCATTCATTCACTATCAGTTCTGAATGCTTGTTAGTCACGCTTGTACAAAAATGTTTACTGTAGGAAAATAATAATAATATCTGTGCGTTTATTTACATTTACTATTTGTACTTTTAGCGTGTAGTGACGGTGTAGGACTGTCTATACCTCATATTATTGGTGGTTAATATAGCGCATAGCGCCATATTATAGCGCGCTATCTCTCTATAACACATAGCGCGTGGTATGTAAGTAGTCGCCATGGCGTTATTGCGCTATGGCGCTTTGGCGCTATTAAGTATTAATATTTAGCGGCAATTAGTTCTAGTAGCAGCGCTGTTTGGAGATGACGTGTGACGCAAATTTGATCTAGTAGCACGTTATTCATCTCGCGCGACCTAGTTTAGTGTTAGACGTTGTTTAGTTAGTGTATACTGTATATTTATAAGTGATCGAAGGACACAGTTGTCTGCTATAAAAGAAGCCTAACTAATATTTTTAAATGTAAATAAAATATGGATACAAAAGTGTATATAATAGTTTATGTAAATAGTTGATTTTTATAAATACAATCAATAAACTTTTAAATACACCTTTATTTGATTTATAATTTATATTAAGGTTAAAATAACGTTTACATCAATTATAATAAAAAATAATAAATTTTACTTCCTTTTAAAAAGTACATGCCTTAAAAATTGTTTTAGGACTGTAAAAAGTCGTGAGCCTGACAAGTATTTAAAAGCGTTCATTGGTTTTTCTTTACCGCTTTATTTTATTTTAGTCTTAAATGCGACTTATTACGAAATAATGTTCTTGTATAGCAAGCGGTCTATACAATTAACGACATGTAATGTAACGTGCTACGAAATATAGCGTGCTGCAAAATTTAACGCGCTTGCCGGCCTCCTACACACTTTCTTATAAATAGCGCGCTATAACATAGCGCATTTAAATAGCGCGCTAGAAATTTATAGTTTATAGTCTGTAGCGTGCTATTGATTTATAGTCGTTTTGAACAACTTTACCCCATATTATCCCGTGGGTGTCGTAAGAGTCGACAGAGGGAAACAAATCAGGAGATGGGCAGCAGCGTCTTCCTAATAACGACTAAAAATAAATAACTACCGTTGGCAAGTGGCTTGCCAAGCGTGGAAACTATGGCAAAATCCCCCCTATAAGGCAACCTATGGAGGAAGCCCATGTACAGCAGTAGACTTTAATAGACTAACAGTAATATCTATGCCTAAGCTTAAGGCCGTGAAGCGTACCGGTCTCAATGGCGATTGCACTGGTTTCTTGATTTTGAATGTGTGTCCTTTTGGGTTGCAGAGCAGCACGGGTCCCCAAATAACGGAAACGAAAGAGGAAGGTTCGGGCGAGTGTACAGTGGAGGGTGGTGAGGGTGAAGTCGTCTCCTCGCAGACCATCAGCTCCAAGACGCGCACCGTCGAGACCATCACTGTAAGTGTCATTTCCTGTTTGTCCAAGTATTAACTAATATATTCGCCTATAATTTTCATACATGTACTTTGAATTTACTGCTGGTTGTTAAAAATATTAGCAATCTTAAATCTTAATAGCGTTGCTTGTTACTTTTTAAATGAAAACGTTCAACTGCAAGTTTTTTTCTGCTGCAGTACAAGACGGAGCGTAATGGCGTAGTGGAGACTCGCGTGGAACAGAAGATCACAATCCAGTCCGACGGGGACCCCATCGACCACGACCGAGCACTAGCGGAGGCCATACAGGTGACGCACGCAAACACACACAACACTCACATTCATATGTACACTGTACACACAAGAACGTGGTACGTGAAAGTTTTATGCATGTTTTTTAAAAAAAGAATATTAACAATGCTATAAACACTCGTAGTAAGCTTAAATTGCTTGTGTTACGAGTGGCCAGTAGTCGAATGGTGGATTCGAACCCACGACCTTTTTGAGTACGCGGACCGCGCCCTGCCATTAGGCTATTGTCGCTATAACAGTTGTGTGTATGTTAGAGCCATACTGCAGCTATATTATGGTTGAAGCACGAATGGGTGGGCTCGACTGAGAAAGGACCACTCTCTCACGGCATACCAGCGTGAAATAGCAGTAAAGCTGCTGTGTCGCGTATGGTGAGTGTAGAGAACTGGAGACCATTTTTACTGAAAACGAGCCATTCTATCTTAGTCTTATTCTATGTAAATCTAAGGTATGCGTGAATACCAATCGCTCAAAGCTAATACGACTAATATACGTCATGATGTACATGGTTTATCTAGTCACGTTTACCTTATGATGATTTTGGTTATTGCGGCCTCTACTCGCAGCCACATTCTACACTAAGTCAGGTTTCGAACAAAATATGACGATGGACTATCACATACCATTATGACATGGTTTTTAACAGATTTTCTAAAAAAGGATCTCTTTGTTAAGCCAAAATATTTAGAGGTGTGCGATTGCGATATTTTTAAAACTACAGGACCAATTTTAATGATACTTTCACTGGGGTGGGGTAGTCAATAAGACTAACTAGTAACTTTGGGAAAGTTGAAGTATATAAAATGATAAGGACCTCAATTTTTTAGTTCGATTTCAGTCAGTTTATTAAAAAAAAACCTTTTATAAGCGTTTTATACACAGATCATTATTCGCTGACCCTCACGAAAACAAAGCACAGCTAACTTATATCAAATAGCTCTAAAATATTGATGTTAATTGTTTTTACTTATTATAAGAAAGTGCTTGACCAAAATTTCACCTCGTGGTAAGTGGTGATGAAACGACATGGTAAATCGCATTGTCTTTGTGTAACAAAAGCTTTTTCACTCTTGCCTTGAAGACGCCCAGATTGTATTCGGACGCTGGTAAATTATTTCACTCCTTTGTTGTACGCAATACAATAGACGTAGCAAATGCTACTCATACTACGCCTGTTGCATTTGCCATAATCTTACTTGAATCTGAGATCATAACATTTTAGAAAATACGCTTAAGTTATTCAATTGTTGAACCAACAGGAAGCCACAGCGATGAACCCCGACATGACGGTAGAAAAGATCGAGATCCAACAGCAGAGCACGCAGCCCTAATTGCGCACAACACCACACAATCCGCCGTTTTGTCTTACTGTCATATTTACAAAATGGCGTCGAATAGATTACTACGGTATAGTTGATTTACAATATCTTTAAATTGTAACATTGATTCTCACAAAACCGAAAACATAATTTCTGTATATAATGAACGCCATTTTGTTAACGTCGCAATGAAACAAGATGGCGGAGTGTTCACAATTTGTATGTATATGGAGTTTGCATACATTTAAACTAGTTGTAAGTGGCATCACTGCGAATATTAGTTAAGATATTTAATTGGTGAAACGTTATACGATTGATTAATGAGGGCTAATAATCTGACGCACGCCAGGTGACGCTAGTGGGGACTGAGGTGAAGTTATTTTTGACGCAGACTGTCATGCAGTGCAACCATCATTGAAAAGTTGCGTTTAAAATGAAAGCTTTTCAGTTTCTAGCGTGTATACTTGTAATATCCATAAAACAATGCCTCAGTTGCTTGTATCATAATTTTTTAACTTTTTTTAATTCTTCTGCTATTAGAATTACCCGTAGTTTGGTTTATGTATCTTTAATACAATTAATACAAAGTATAACTAATATTTCATGAAGAAATATCAATTTTTACTTGTAAAAATTTTACTTCCCTACCATTGAGATCTGTCAAACATTTCACCTCATTTCAAAATGGCGCCTCCCTGGTGACACAAAAAGTTGTGGACGTCCTATTTGTCGTTAATTGATTTATATTGATGTTGTGGAGAAAACGCACTTTGACGAGTAGGTTTTTTTTTACTTTAAGTATAATTATTGTATCGCGAATGGAAGAAAGTAAGATTGGCGTTTTTATAAGTATAGTTTAAGCCAATTCAAAATAGATCACTCTGAAATCCTATTTCGTAAATGTTGCCATATTGAAAAAAGTGTTCGTGTTAAAGTAAATTTAATCTTCGTATCATTATTTTTTCGATACGGGATAGCTTTAAAACATCTCGCACGAGTTAGACCACCGTTATTTAGAATAAAAATTGTTTTTGTCTTCACCTTATAAATCTCAAATCGCGACAATGTAGCACGGGACTAAAGCTCGACTGGGTTTCCACCATAAAAGTATAATACCACTGATATTACAAAGATATAACATTTTTTTAAATTGGTGTAGCCCAGTCGGGCGCTACAGAATTATATGTTAAGAAATTATATTTATGAACATGTTGCTATAATCTATTTCTAATATATTTCACCATTAGGTGCTATTGTTTAAGCTGAAATCGATATATTTGATGTCTTGTGTCAGTTATTTATCGTCGACAAAGGAACGAAGCAAGCTGTATGGCACAGCTGGCAGCCTTGATTTTGTCTAATATAGAAGCTTGTGCAAATGGAACGAATCAAAATAATTTGAAATGTTGATGATTCCATAAAGAAATCGCTTAGTTGGTCGATGTATAGGGTAAACACAGATAGTTAAGGCCAGTTGAGTATTTCGTTTGTTTCGATTAACATGAGCACAATTTATTTGAATTATATTGTTTCGTAAAATGTAAACGGATTGTTGAAGTTTTACACAAACAACACGGTATATCACGTAAAAAATGATCGCATTCTGTACAACCGGACATTCCAATATACCTGGTGAATGGTTCACAAAAGTCTAGTTATAATGCTAGATCGACACAAAGTGTTTATTTCTCTCTATGTTTTATTTCAATGTTTAGATATTATTATCTACGTACGTGTTATCCGGAGCGATAGGGTTAATCTGTGGGCGGCATAATGCGCGATATATTTTTATCTGTGCGTTGACATTTATTTACAAAATGTTACTTGGAAATTCCCTTATATCTGTAAAGTTCGTACTATTTGATATATCTTTGAGTAACTATGACATTTTAATGTAGTAAAAAATTACTAGTGTTAGCAATTTAATCCAAATGTTTCCAACTCACTGCCTCAGTTCTGAAAAATATAAGTGTTGCATATTGCTTTCGTAAGTGTGGAGAACAAAATATTTAATAATTGGCAACTAGTTCTGGGGATTGTCTTTGCCACACATTAAATCCTATCGCTCCCTTAGTTGACATGATATTGTAAAATTATATTAATATATTTCTTAAATACGCTAGAATTAAAGTTTTTGTAATACAATAAGTTTGCGTAACACGATGAAGTTATTGACGCTGGTTTTGAATCAGAATTTATTTGTAGCGTTTACGTCTTTATTGATTTTTTTTATAATTTTCACATTCTATTAAATATTTAAATGTTCTGGAATACTGCTTAAATGTTTCATGACAAGGATTATATTTTCAAATTATTTTTTATCTCCTAACTTACATATTTTTAAGGTTCGATTAAAGTGGGAAAAGGTTTCCGTTCTATGACTAAAAAGTAATTTTAGATCTTGTAGCATATTAGTCTTAATACCTCTTCCCTTTGATCGAATACCTCCGTTTGTGTTATTTTTATATTTATTGAAGATGTTTATTTTTCTATGAGTCCCGATTTTGTATTATTTTATTTAAGAAGAAAAGTAAAGAAGTAACGGACATTACAATAAAGATGCTTTGTTTTATTTATATATGTTTTATTTTAATATAATTACAATTACCACATAGTGGTAGAACCAGGCTGAGTGCTACCTATACATAGCTGCAGCACGAATGGGTCGGCTCGACCGGGAAGGACGACGCTCTCACGGAATACCAGCGTGAAACAGCAGCTTAATGCTGCTGTGTTTAATATGGTGTGTGTAGAGAACTGGAGACCCTATTTCCTGCTATCGAGACAATCCACCTCAGTTCTCAGTGGTGGGTACAAGGCATCTACATTTTGATTTTTAATCGGGGGATAAATGTAGATATGTATAGGCCATTGTACCCACTTGTCATCAGGTGGAGTATGTACTCATTTGTCACCCTTATTTTATAAAAAATGTATATCATTTGCTATGTTGGCATTAGGGGTTCCAGCTTCCCATCTCGTCCCGTGGGTTCATCTGACGGTGGTATAACCATTTTGATAGACGTAAATCGTTGAGAAGTGTGTCTTAAATGGAATAGAAACTTATAAATGTGGGTGGGACTGAGCCCACTAGTGGGACGCATATCATTACTTGTTGGGTTTTTAATATTATTAACGTGATTTTTTTTTAAATGAAACAACACGTGTAAAGATTGAAAATTGTATTTGGTAATAGACAAAGACTATCTCAAAGAAAGATAATGGCTTCTAAACAATTCCTAATGTCATGTAATTTTATTTCAAATTATCTAAGCGTAATAAACCTTGATGATGTAGGAATTGTTCACATCATGATCGAGTCGACTTATTCCTCGTGTCAGCATATTCCCTGGATTAAATCAATGATTACAACCACAGATTAATAAATTCACATTCACCATCCATCCATCAATCGCAGTCTATAATACTCCACTGCCGAACATAGGCCTCCCCTACAGATTGCATATATTGAGATGGGCAGCAGCATCTTGCTGATAACAACTCACAATAATAAAATATTGCGGTCGCCAACCCGCCCGCCAAGCGTGGCGACCACAGAAATCGTAATAATAAGACAATAGAAGTCGCACAGACGCGTGACCTTGCCGCCGCTATGATCTGTTGAACATCATTCACCATTTTGTGATTTAGTTGCGCGGGGAACGTCGTACGTGAATGTATGTTATTATAATGGGGAACTGCAGCATAAGCAGTTGTAAAAAACACCAAGGACGTGTAATTCAATTAATAAAGGCATAAAATTTCATCGGTAACATGATTATTTACTAATTATCATTGTTTTAACTAATTTACATCATATTTACCTTTGTAAACTTTCATTAAATTACTTTTCGTATTGTAAAATTACCATTGCTGCTTTTGTTCTACCGTAATACGCGACGTACGCGACGTTGACGAACTCGCCAAGCAATGTAATGTGAAATAGATATTGTGCATTGTGTATGTTTACAATACGGTTGCAGGCATCGGTCGCTTAATTCGTATGTGTAAAGATGTGGCGACATCGGTTTTGGAACCAATCGAGCGCTATTTCATTTCTATTGTCTTATTATTACTATTTCTGTGGTGGCAACTATGGCAATGGCAATTATCCCACTTATGAGGGAAATGATGGGAAGATCTACCTCCAGCCATTGAAGTTATATGTACTAGATATTAGAACAGACACTGCGAACAAATTCTCTGAGACAGTGTGGGCCGCCTGTGAGACAGATTGCTTTTTTATGGCAAAGACTAAGTAAATTAAAGCCTGAGGGCTCTAACGCGTGTTGCATAAAACGAAGTCTCGGCGTCTCTTGTAGTACAAATTACTTCATTGTATAAAATAACACTTCTGCGAGGAATAAGCGTCATGTCTTGTCACGTAAGGTCTCACATGCACATTCGCTAGCCGAATAAAGTGCTGATGGTCTGCAGCAGGCCAGGCTCGGCTTGGTAGCGTAGCCCGTCATCTCCGAGTCCGTAAGGGAACGCTCCTCGCGTTTGCAGGAAGAACTGACCTCGCGCTTCCGGTGTAGACCCTTCGCCCATGTAGCTGGAAAAGTGACGATCTGTGAAGATTTTACTTATAATTTATACGGATTCTAACTGTTGAAATTACTGATTCCCTTTAAACACTCCTGGTAAGCTTAAAATGCTCGGAACGAAAAAAAATCTAATTTTCTGAGTCATGGTGCGAACAAGGGGTGGTGGTAGATTTTACGCCGCTACCATACGGCGAGGAGCCGAGTCTATTTTTTCGGCTTCGTCGCTCGTTTAGCACCACCCGGGGGACACGTGTAGGGTGGGCCTAAGGTTAGGTGGTCGAAGCCTACGGACGCGAGCGACTCATCCCCCGAAAAAAAAAGAAAAGTTATATCGCATTATTTTCAGATTTATTTTCGTATCTTTTAAATATATCTTCTACGTGGTAGAGTGAAGCCGCATTGTGGCGTATTATGGCTTCAATAGAAATGGGTCAGATCGACCAGGAAGGTCCTCGTTCGTACGGA